CCGGGAAGTAACTTGTTGTAGTCCCTACGAGCCGTTTTTGTAGGCATTAAACTGCCAGAATTTTAAAAGACGACATCTCCGTTTGCATTGAACTTTCAACTTCGTAAATTTGTAGATATTGTTTATGCTCAAACAGCAACATTACACACAAACTAACATTAAAAAAGTGAAATTGCAATCAACCACCCCTTTAATGCCAAGTTTTACTGCCACTGATTCCATGTGGGCCTGAACAAGAGTGTAGATGTATCAGCCTGAGTAAATCCCTCCCACTTAGCTCCACCATAGGTCTCACCTAATCCCCAATTCCAGCATGTTCTTACTAACACTTTTGCCTCCTGCCCTTTAAAACCCTTTTCTCTTTCGATCCCTGCTGCCCTTCATCCTTGTGGATTTGCTCTGCTTTCCTAGCTTTGCTCTGTAGCCACTGCTGCAAATAGCAAGCTATGATACTAGCAGACCAGCCAGCAAACAGTTGGCCCACATATGTATACAGCACACCCACCTTGACACTTGGCACACGAGTCCTTCTCATACTCCATCATTTCTGGAGCCTGGCCACGCACACTGGTGGTCCTCCGCAATGCTCCATCTTCACGCAGACGAGCTGCCTCTTCTTTGGCATAGGCCCCCAACTCCTGTGTATAGCGTCCATACATCTGAAAGTTAGACAGGAGTGAATGAAGATTTTACCTGGGAAGGAAATGAAGGGAAACCAAGCCGAGAAATGCTTCACTGAAATAATATACAACTTAACAGGCTGTTCAAAAACCCATCAAATACATGAAGGTAGTCTGTCAGAGGTTCCTGTCCCCGAGTACGATTCCTGAAACATTAAGCTACCATGCTTCACTGCAATGGTGCTATTTGTGAGATTTATATAGTTAAAGTAAGAGTTAACCCAAAAAAGAAAATTTACTGAAAATCTACTCAGCCTCAGGCCATCAAAGATGTTGATGCGTTTGTTTCTTCATCGGAACAGATTTGGAGAAGTTTAACATTACATCACTTGCTTACCAATGGATCCTCTGCAGTGAATGGGTGCCGTCAGAATGAGAGTTCAAACAGCTGATAAAAACATCACAATAATCCACAAGTAATCAGCATGACTCCAGTCTATCAAGTAACGCCTTGTGAAGTGAAAAGCTGCATGTTTGTAAGAAGCAAATCCATCATTAAGGCATTTTAATTTTAAACTATTGCTTCTGGCCAAAATATGAGTTCATAATCCATAATCCAATCCATAATCCAAAATGATGCCTCCACCAGTGAAAAAGTCAATCTCCTGCTGTCGTCTTACATCAAAACACAACAAAATATTTAGATGTTTAAAACTGTTTTGGACTGTTATTGTTTGTAAACTATGCTTGATCTGCACATATTTCTCTCCTGATTCAGACGAGATTACTTTTTCACTGGAGAAAGCAGTATTATGGATATAGGACTTGTATTTTTGCTGGAAACAGCAGTCTGAAGTTAAAAACGTCTTAATGATTAATTTATTATCATGTGGTTGGATTACTGTAATGGTTTTATCAGCTGTTTGGACTCTCACTCTCATCTGATGGCACCCATTCACTGCAGATGAGCTATTGCTGAATAGGTCATGTAATGGTAAATTTCTCAAAATCAAATAAAGATGGCCTAAGGGTGAGTAAATTCTCATCACATTTTCACTTTTGGGTGAACTATTCTGTTAAGCATCCACATTTGACCTAATTGGACCATGGAAATTGTTGAGTCACTCTCATTCCTATAGGAAAAGTCCACCTGAGATGTGATTTGAGCTCTTGTCCATACAAGACTCGCAAGACTACAGAGTTATGAATTGTTGATGTTGTTGTTGTCTCAAGCATGTTCTTCAATCTTTCATGGAGGCTGTGTTCTATGTTCCTGTGAGCATTTTCGTGATCTCTTTTCCTAAGGCTCTGTCCACCTAGGTGAACAACTTGGTGAAAAAAGTTCTGAGCAGATTCAGAGATGTTCCACATTTTTTGTACATAGTTTACTTTTCTTAAAGGTATGTTCAATGCTTTGGAAATGTCCTACGTACTTGCCCTGAGTGGAATTTTATATGTATCTTGATGCAGTTTGGCTTTGAAAGTGCCTTTGTCCTGATGACGTAATGTTTCCTTAGAACTGCAAAGAGATGCTCCCACACAGACCCAGGTGTGTTTTATTTTTAATTCTTGTACCTCATACCTCAGATGCAGATACACAGATTCCAGTTAAATCATAGTGCGATTTCTGTGTTGTTCCATTGGTTAGATCAGTAATAATTTAGCTGTTAAATCAAGTCACTAAATACTTGTTCATTCAATTATTATTATTATTATTAATAAACCTTTTTAACGTGTGTGTCTTCAAATATGGGCACTTGGGTACCAAGTTTTATGTATAATTTTATTTTATTTTATTTATACAACAGATTTTCAAATTTTTGTTATAAAAAGTTCAGATTAAAGTGGAAACTTTACTGTACATGTACTGTACAGACAGACTCTGCTGTAACTTATTCAGCATATAACATCGTTATGCCAGTAGATGGCGACCAATGACTGTCTTGTCTAGTCAATGACTCAGCTACTCAACTGATTTGTTCAAAGACTACAATTCATTCGGGAACAAAGTAAGTGATGTGAGTGAGTGAGTCATTGAATCATTTACATAACCATTCATTTTAAAAACACAATTCATTCAGGAATGATGCATCACTACTCAATAGTTTATTCTGCTTGTGTTATATTCCTAATTATAGGCCTTTATAATAGTCCTTACAGTTTTATACTAGGTTCTGCCTGCTGTGTCATTTGCAGTGCTTCAGGGATGAGTAACACATTCTATTATGTAAGAATAGAGTATTTTACTTTTGTAAAAAAATATTTTTTTTGATTTTCAAATACCTTGGAAAGCTTCAATCAAATGTTATAATGGTGTGATTCATCTCTGTGCTGGTTGGTTTGGGTCACAGAAAAGAATACTTCTGTAATGAAGGACACTGGAAAAGTGTGTATGTTAATCAGCTAATCAGCTGTGGGCCTGCTATTGTCTGGAAATGTGTCAGTTAATATCGAATGTCTGATGTTCTTATTACTTGGAGTCATGATAAAGGATGGAGCAATACGCTGGTTTACAAACTGCAGTGATTTATCAGTACTCCATGTCTGTGTTCAGCTATCGCATATACCATTATTGTTTGGGTCTTTACTACCAAGCGGTGGGCGCGGTTCACTAACATAAGTGTAAAACATCTTTTTCCCCTCTGATTCTTTCTTTTTAGAACAGAGTGGAGAACTATCATTATTATAATAGGATGTATTATTGATAAGCTGTAATCCAGTAATGGTAATGTGCATTCCATTTCTGACATGCGCTGTACTTAGTAAACCAATCACAACTGACTGGGTCATCTGATCAATCAGAGCAGAGTAGCTTCACGCAAAGGAGGGGTTTGGAAAGATGACTCTTTGAATGAATCGTTTGAGAGTCGTTGAGAAATAACATAAAATTAAATGCATGTTATAAGAAAATGAACATGTTTTTTGACCTTGCATGCATGTAAACCTGTTGTTGGGGACTCCCAAAACCAAATTATGATCCTAGGGGCACTAGGGCACTATTTTCACATTTTGCTGCATTCAGCTGATTTACGGTAATGTCAAACAGTGAGAATCAAGTAGTTTAAAACAGCATGCTTGATTGGTGGTTCAATATGGTAATATTCAGTACAAAACTATTTTGGAAACTAAAACAAAGAAGCATACTAAACATCAGCATTTTCCAACCACCACCGCCAATGAATATTTCACTAGTCAATAAAGTAGTTACAGATTATTGCACACAGTCCCATGAGACCATAAATCAAACTGAAATCTATACTTCTATTCTCTGACTGCCCAGCACAAGTTTTCTGAGGCGATCTTGAGAATGGGATTTAAATGAGCAGTGAAACTCAAACCCAAATGGCTTGTTATTTGATAAAGATCCTGTATTGTCTTTGTGTTGTTATACATCGGCAAAAGGTAAATAAAGATATAATGAGCAGATATGTCCCTGTTTAATCAATCAGTCTGGAAACTGGATAAACAATAACTTTCAAGTTAAAAAAAATGAAAAGGTTTATTCTGTTTCTGGTTTTCGGGAACACTATGGGAGACATATTGAGGACACTGCAAAACAATTTAAAGAGACAGAGATACAAATTTACAGAAGGCTGGATACTGATACTTAGAAAAGTCTCTGTAATTTATGTTTTTAAGCCATAGCACAGCTTTATGCATCACATAAGGAACCACAGACCATGATTTCTGTTTGAGATTCAAAAGCCCGACAAACGCTTTATCAAGTTGATCAAGGCAGGAGAAGATGTGATGTTAAAAAAACTGAGCAATTTATTTACTGGATTGCTGGATTTGTTAGTTGCGTCATTGTCAAAGCTTAGTCTGAATTAATTTGACTAGAGACACATTCAATAAGTGTTTTAACAAAAGCAATGTAAAAATACTTTGTATAGTGTGGAAGATCTTGAAATAGAGACAATGCCTTATTTAGATTATTTAGACAATACAGCACACAACATAAATAGCAACAACTGCCAATGATGAGTAAATCTTAGCGAGTTATAAATATTTCTTAACACCTATTAAAACTGTATTTTGAATAATTTTTACTAAAATGTCTGTGTCACTATGACAATGATATTTAGCAGTTTTTCAATTCATATTTGTGACTAAAAACATAGGTCATTGTGTGTCAGTCATAGCATATCTGTTTATCAAATGAAACTGCATTTGCCACACACACACAAAAAAAGAAAAACAAGAAGACACATTGTGATTTGGTCTTATGTTAATTTTTTTGGCTTAATGTGGGAAGCAATTGACATACGCATCTCCACATGGAGTACTGGAGAAAAAAAAAATTAGACAGCCAAAATAAAACGTTTTTAAAATTGTTAGAAAACATGCTTTAGTAGGATGATTTGAATCACTATGGTTTGAAATGTGCATATCCCATTAGTGATGGTCAGACTCGTCTTAGAATTGCTCGCCAAACCCATTTGGTGCACTTTAAAAAAGTCTAACAGAGATTGTTGGAGTATGTTTTACAAGCAAATACTTTTTCAGTTTTTCTACTTCAAAATTCCACGATTCATTCAATGTGTTACCTGCCATTTCTTTGTAATTATTTGTGAAATTAGTGAAAACTGTTTCCTATGCCAATTTATTTTCAGTGTGTTGAGCGAGGTTCAATTTTGGACCCTGATTGGAGATCTGATTAAAGTGTCAATCAATTTTACAATTTTCTTTTCGGGGAGTCGGTTCTTTCGGCAAATTAATCGCGAATTTGCAACAATGCTTTGAACAACTTTGTATCCTCCAGCTGAATTTCCATTTCATTACGTTCAACTGTATCATCCTGACATGATTTTGTCCTCAGATATTAAAAAAAATCCTCATGTCTGGGTGACGTAAGGGGGTATTTTGAGCCATTCCCACCCAATGTAACCCAGTCCTCTGCCTTTCCCTATTCCTTTCTTCTCCCATCCCTCGTTCTTACCATCAGCTGCTCCCACACAGGCACATGCCCACGGCACTAAAGATGGAGAGACAGGGATATTGGCAGGTCCGTTGTGTAGTGCCACAATCCCTCTCTCCTA